TTTTTGTCATTATTATGTATTATGTATCCGCTATAACATGATAATGTATCTCACTGATGTTGTGTTGAATAAATTTATCGGCGTTGTAAGATTTGTGAGTAAGTGTAACCTTCTAAAATGTTTGTACCTTCCACTGCAAGCAATTTAATGTTTAATTCAAAATCTCAATACTAAAAAATTATAAGTTACAGTGGACATTGTGAATATGTTTGACCAACTATAGGATTCTATCATTAATTCCATGTAAAAAATGTTTTGAAAAATAAACGTAGTAAAAATAGTGTGTTTGTGTTTTATTTCCTTATAATGAATACCTATCTTTAATCAAAAGAAAAGTCAATAACATATTAAGTAGGGCTCATGGACTACCAGTATAGCTATTTCGTGTCTATCTGTTGTGATAAAATCCGATAAATTTAAATAAATTTTTATGATAAGCACGTTGTTTCATAGCATCGCCAGGACCTGCAGCGCGATGCGGTCGTTGTCAGTTTGGTTGGCGAGGGGCGGGCGGAGGGGACCGATAAACTTGAGGAGCGGGAAGTGGGGGGGTAATGACGTAACGAGGAGTGGAGGGAGAGGGGAATAAGTCGGGCGATCAGATGTATGCGTGTGTGAGTTTGGAGTGATAACACCGATGGGCGGTCAGTGACTTCTACAATCAGGGTTGTTACAGTTAATTAATTTTTTAATTTTTATCGTCAAAAAATGCTTAGATTCGTATTTTAAAATTATGCCATTTCATTCAAAGTCTGATATATATACACGGCTTTAAATGTTACTACATCTTTCTGTAACACCCTGTATATTTCGAAAATATGTGAAGTCCGCCAATCCGCAGTGGGGCCGCGTGGTGGACTATGCCCTGATACCCTCTGTATAGAGGAGGCCTTTGCCCAGCAGTGGGGCATGTATTGGCTGTTACTTTACTTTACTTTACTTTATACATACGCACGATCAATATAAAAATGAAAATTCAAGTACAGAAACACAAAGTGCGGGTGTTAATGCTGCGTATATTGAAAAATTAGTAGGTAACTCTAATTTTCATACATGGAAGTTTGGACGGATGATGATTTGTGGAAATAATCGCAAGTGTCACCACAGCCGGAGGATGTAGCAGGCATTCGTAGAGACCAAAAAGCACGGGCTCAAATCAGTTTGATGGTGAATCAGAGGTGTCGCACCAATTACGTAAACCTACTTAAAAGTGTGTCGCCTACCTAAAAACGCACACGGCAGAGCCGCGTAACCTACTTAAAGACGCACACGGCGGAGCCGAATGTCACGAAGCACCGAGTCAGCATGCCCGACGCCCTTGCAAGAATCACGTAGTTCCAAATATCCAACTTACTTAAAGGCGGAATCGGAATCGGAATTTATTATTCTTCGGTCCCACTTCGACCAAGATAATCACTTTAGTTTAGTTTAGTTGTAGAATTATTGTAATTTTTCTTTTTTAATTTATATTTTAAGAATTGGTTTCCTTCAAGTCCTGTGGCTGCAGCTAACGTAATTCACCTTGATAAGAAAGGGCGAACTAGTGTGTTTGTTGTTGTGCTAAGTGTGGGTGTAGTGTTATCCGGCGGGACCCCCGGCGATGGGTCCGGCGTATCTAAGTCCCCTTGACCGGGTCGATGAGGACGTTTGACGACGGGCGACGCTTGTTGTTGTTTGCGTTCGTGTCGGGTTGGTAATTTGCTGCGCTTACCACCAGAGGGTTGGGATGTACTGCTCTATCAAAGAACCGTTTGTTCAGGTCATTAAAATATTCACGAATCGTCGGGAGTCTGCAATCGCTGTGCAGGTCGACGTTGCGTTGATACCACTGCGCACTGGTTTCGCAGCAGATGAACTTGTTTTGTACAATTTGCAACTTGTACAAGCGAGTGCGGTTCGTGTGAGTGAAAGTCATGCATGCGTAGGACATAATAGGTCGTACGCAGGTCTTATATAATAATAATTTGTGCCTTAAGGGCATTTTACTTTTAGCGTTAGTTAAATTATGTAGCCGGCCGGAGACGAACGCGGCTCTATTACGAACGTTATTAATGTGCGTAGTAAATGACATACGCGAGTCGAAAGTGACTCCTAAGTATTTGACCTTTTTCTCCGAAGGGAGCGATTAGCCATAAAGGGATATTTGTCCCAACTTTCTGCATTGGCGAGGGTCTTTATTAAGATGTGACGGGTAATTTTTTCGTGTGAAGTGAACCGCCGTATTCTTTTCGGGATTTACTTCTATTCTCCATTTGCGGAACCAATCGCCGAGGCGGTCGGTGGCGCTTTGGAGATGAGTAGTAACTTGATTGGGATTTTAATCTGTGTAAAATAGCGCCGTGTCATCCGCGAAAAGCGCGAGATTGACGTGGGGGTCTTTGGGTCTCATGTAGAGCGTAAAGAGTAAGGGTTAGAGGCAGGTGCCTTGTGGAACACCAGCCGTGAGGCGGCGGCTTGTGGAGAGGGCACCCTCTCCACAAGCCGCCGCCTCGGTATCGGAAAAAAATCTAATTGTCTATTCTCTGCTCTGATCTCTCTATCTACAATTATGGATGTCGATATTTATAAAAATATCAATATCGTCCTCGATATAAAAGTAACAGCCTATACATGTCCCACTGCAGGGCAAAGGCCTCCTCTATATAGAGGGTATCAGGGCATAGTCCACCACGCGGCCCCACTGCGGATTGGTGGACTTCACATATTTTCGAAATATATTTTTTTTTTGTTATTATTTCGAAAATATGCAGGTTTCCTCACGATGTTTTCCTTCACCGCGGAGCACGTGATAAGTCAGCACTTAAAGTTAAAAACTTCATTGGTGCCGACACCGGGGATCGAACTCAGGTTGCTCGAGTATATTGAATTAAAGGCGAGCGCCCGGACACTGAGCTATCACGGCTCCTCGTCCTCGATATATCGAAAAAGAATTCGATAAATCGGTCATATTTTCGCTTTTAAAAATAATGTATTAAGTTCAATCTGTAATTTTAATACCAAATTCACATTATTTTGTGAATGAAAAATTTTATTAAAACATTAATTATTTAATTGACGACCCGATTGGCGTTGCCGGTAGTGACCCTGCCTCTTGCGCCAGAGGGTGTGACTTCGAGCCCCACTACTGGAAAAATATTGTATGATAAACATAGTGTTTTTCCAGTGGGTGTTTGTATATTTATAATATGTATTTATTTACAAATGAAAAGTATGTTTAAGTATGTTTATCAGTTATATAGTATCCATAGTACAAGCTTCGCTTAGTTTGGGACTAGAAATCTTTGTGTAAAATGTGTCCTGTCCTTTATTGAAATATTTAGTAAGATAAATGTTTCGTTAGCCCTGAATTGAATAAAAAACTACTTATTAAAAAAAAACATTTGTAACTTTGTAAAAAAAAGCATAGAGAATTGTTTAAAACGAAGTTAATAATGGGTCGAAAAGAAATTCGGAGATACTTGTACTAAAAGACAAGCTCTTTTTACGGTGGTAGGGTCATAACGGTGGTAGGGCCAAGCAGCACCCTTGGCTGTTGCACAAATGGGCAGGCGTGTCCGAGTAAGTACCACGACCTCACAGAAGACCAGCGTAAAGTGGAAGTATGACAAATACTTTCGCATTTCGTAGGTAGCCGGAGCCCAATTTTCAAAAGGATGTCAAAGCATCTGTAACCCTCGGGTTTGGCAGATGTCCATGGGCGGCGGTATTCACTCAACATCGGGTGAACCGTCTGCTCGTTTGACAACTTTTCGCATAAAAAAAAATAGATCAGCAGAATTTAGTAATAGTTTTTAGATTGACATGAAAATCCTGAACGTTACTTATGTGCTTAAAAAAGTTACTTATGTGCTTAAATGATAATAATTTTTATGACATCTAATAAGTTTTTATGAAAATTTGATATTATATAATGTGACATTTAATTTTTGGGAATTTTATTTATATTAATTATAACAATTAAATTTTGTTCACTTTATTTATATATTAAATTAAAGTAACTTTAGTTGATATTAATTACATATTAAATTAAAGTTACATAGTCATTAATATTTTGCATGCTATTTATATACTAGCTTAACATGTAGTTCAATTTTAATTATTTTTAACACGATAGTGTAAAGTACGCAGCATGAAATCCATACCAATATTATAAATGCGAAAGAAACTCTGTATGTCTGTTTCGCCTTCACTCCAAAACTACTAAGCCGATTTAAATGATATTTGGTACACTATCTGTGTTTTTGAGCCTGAGAAAGGTATATGTATAATTTTTTGTGTAAAATTTGACGATTCATAAGAACGCGCAAACATCTATTTGAATAAAGATATTTGATTTGATTCTGACATAGACTATTTTTTAATTGGAAAAGTGTTGTAAAGGGTTGATAGATATTTATTTAAGGGCTTCAAAGCGAGCGAAGCCGCGGGCGAAACCTAGTTGTAGTATCAATACCATAATAATTTTATTACACAATACAAAACTGCAGCCGCGACAATACTAGTCATAGACAACAGATTTTTTCCGTTTTATTTTTATCTTTTACGACTTTGAGTCAGTTAATGTTCAACCGAATTAAATTTGTATAAAAATATCGTTTTTGATACGATTTCGATATTTAATTTTTTATATCGATATATCGGATCAAAATATATCGGCCAAAAATATCGATACATTTTCAAAAAAATATCAATACATCGATATATCGATACTTTTTCGACATCCCTAGTTTAATCTTTCTCGATAACTTTATCTTTATTCATTTTTTTTGGTTTTTGCAATAAATAACATATCTATGCTTCTTGCTTGATCCTTGTAGATTATGTAAAATAATGCTCTTAGAACATCTAATTATAACATTTTAATTCTCGTTATATGTAACATGATTTTAACAATATATATTTATTCGAATCCATTGTCTTCCTCACGTGTGAGTAGGAATAAATGAAATACTATTTGGGTACAATTCTACTTACCTTTTGGAAACTTTAAAGAAAATACAATGGAATCCGGCAATCATGTGGCATCAAATGATTATGTAGATGCTTTTAGTTACATTAATGAAAGACCGGTTGATGACATATCACTGGAATTTTTTTATAAGCCACATACCATAACCCTTTTAGCCGTATCAATTGCAACTGTTATATACACAGCTTTTGTAAGGTAAAGACCACTTATTTTCCTTTTAATCCCTTGTTGCCTAACGTATAAAACATTATCATAATAATATTATTATTATTATGATACATTCGTATCGCCTTAGCAAACTAATGTTCTTCGACAGCAGGCTTAGAATGATATTCTGCTAACACTAAAGTGTTTGCATTGTAGCATTTATAATATTGAAAAAAAAAAAAAACATAGAAAAGTATTTTAATAAGGTAATTAATAAATACACTTTAAATAATAAATATAAGTGTTAATGTCCACTTAACACTAGCAGTAAGTGGATATTGTGGTAAATCATTTCTGTTTTTACAATGTGTACAAAATTTAAACAGACACAATGTCTGTTAAAATTTTGTCTGTATTAAGTCTTAGAATATATTTTTAAAAAAATATGTTTTCATAAATAACACAAAGATTTAATAATTTCAAAAGAAACACAAACCACATGTTTGTATACCTCTCACATAATATCTTAAACTATTATTATAATCAAACTTTCTTTTTTCAGAACATATTAAATTAGGCTATTGTGTAAATTTTAACTGATTAATTACTTGATTCCGTGAGAAATACTAAGCACATATTTGTATATAATTATTTTTACTTTAGTAATAAGTATATATTCATATATACTTAATATCTTTATAGTATGTAGACTATTTCTAGGATTAAAAGTTGTAATATTAGATATGCTTTTAATCTATGAATTTATATATAAGTTGGCAAGAAATTAATGAAATATATTGTTATATCTAGTGATTTCATAATTATATTGAATATGATATAATAATTTTTGAATTAACTCATCTTAAATGTGTTTTCCCCTTATTTAGAGATGAATCGAGCATACAAGAGAATATCTGGTCTGGGATTTGCTGCGTTATCTTCTTCTTTCTTATTGTATCAGTACTTACATTTCCTAATGGACCTTTTACAAGACCACATCCAGCTGTCTGGAGAATTGTTTTTGGAGCATCTGTTCTTTATCTACTAGCTTTATTATTTTTACTATTTCAAAGTCATTCCACTGTGTATGAGATAATGTATTGGATTGACCCCAATCTTCGTAACTTTCACATTGACATGGATAAGGTAGATATAACCTGGCCATTTTAATATTCATTGCTCCTTTTCTATTTAATAACAAAAAATACTTTTCAGGAATATGCAGTGAACTGTTCTGATATATCTATAGCCAAAGTTTGGTCTCATGTAGATGTTTTTGCTTGGGGACATTTTTTAGGTTGGATGTTTAAAGCTATCCTTTTTAGACACACAGGCTTATTATGGGCTATTTCCATTATGTGGGAGATAACTGAGATAGCATTTGCTCACTTACTACCAAACTTCTTAGAGTGTTGGTGGGACTCAATTATATTAGATGTTTTAATTTGTAATGGCTTGGGGATATGGTGTGGATTAAAAATTTGCAAAGCCTTAGAAATGAGAGAATACACATGGGTCAGTATAAGGTAATTTCTTTTTTTAGTATTTTTATGTGAAAATTTTGTGAGCAAGAAGACTAGTAACCAGTTAACATCAGGTGGAGCGTTAAGTGATTACCACCATCCATAAACATCTACAACACCTGAGACTAGTTCTCTAATTATGGCAATCAGAATACTCTAATAAAATGATACCATAATAGACTAACATGGTTTTGAATAAGTATGTGTAAAAATTACTTTAAACACATACTAAATCAAAACTGCCATTTTGTCTGCATATTTTCAAGAATTGGGTTAAGGAGCCCCACATTAGTCTGTTTGTTGGTGTAAGCAAAATAGCTTAGTGAATTTTCAAACTGCTAACTAAATTAGAAGATCAGTCAAGCTTAGCAAAGTAGTAAGGCCCTTTTTTGAAATTCTTACACACATTTAAACTCGAAGTTAACCTTTTACATGCCTCTACTGTATTTAAAAATCCGAAACAGTACACATTTTTTGCAACCAATAGGAATCAGGGTATAAGTACAGGGCCAGCAAGTAAACAACAATTACAAGAAATTATTAAGTTTGTAGACCAATATTAAAGTTTTCATAATCTGAGTTTTGCAATAATAACAGCTTATGCCTAGTTCCACAAGGGTAGACAGGAGTAACATATCTTAGGAATAAACTATCCTTTCGTAAATAAATCTACAAATCTCAAATCAAAAAATTTAATATCTCAGGAGAATTAGGATAAAGAAAATAATTTATTATTTTTATGTAATAATTTTTATTTTTTAATATTTTAGAGACATTACATCAACAACAGGAAAAATTAAAAGGGCAATCATGCAGTTTACTCCAGTACAGTGGACACCAGTTCGGTGGTTGGATCCTAATTGCACTTATATGCGATTTTTTGCTCTAAGTCAGTTAGTAGTATTTTGGCAAATATCTGAACTTAATACATTTTTCTTGAAGCATATATTTGAAATGCCACCTTCACACCCCTTGGTAATTGCAAGGTTGTGCCTAATTGGTGTGATTGTCGCCCCTTCTGTCAGGTGAGATTTTTTTCGGGTTTCTACAGTATTTTTTATATTTTTTATTATCTTACATTTATCATTCATATTTAAAAGTTATCTAGTTGTAATATAATTTTCTATAAATAGGAACTTCTCTAGTTAATTTTTTCATAGGACATCCCAATCATTGAATAATAATTTGATGTAGAATATAGCATAATATAGAAACATTTAATGCATTTCTGAATTATATTATTTTCTATATAATAAAATTATAATTATTTTTCATATAACATCCTAATCATTGAATAATATAAGTAAAATTAACTTATAATGCATTGCTGGATCATATTATGTTCTGTATTATAAAATTACAATTATTTTTCAGACAATATTACACTTATGTAACAGATTCCAGATGTAAGAGAGTAGGTACACAATGTTGGGTTTATGGTGCCATTATGGTAACAGAGTCCATGTTGTGCATCAAAAATGGCAAGGAACTTTTTGGACAAGCTCAAGTGTGTAACGTTATTATATGGCTTGTCATTCAAATTCTAGTCTCCATAGGTTGTGTGTACGGTGTGGTGTTATATCACCGTTATTTTGAGGTATGAAAATAACCTTTTACAATCTCTTAAGGCGCTGTATGCAGTGAATTTTTAACTATTTGGGTGGTGAAGTATGAGGAAGCGGAGGAGGGGTAACGCCGCTTAGCGGCGCGCAGCGCGCGACTTTCGTCGACGCGCCGCTAGACCAAGTCATTCATTGCTTAAGGCCCACTTACATGGTGCCAGTTTCTTGCCTGTTGTATACAATTAAATTGAAGCAATAAATGAGTTGCATGGTCTAAACAACAAATGGTCTAAACAATTATTGCGCGCAATTTATTGCATTCAATTATTGCTCTTGTATGTACAAGAAAATGGCATCGTGTAAATGGGCCTTTAGTGTGTGTGTAGTGGTGGGCCGTAGGATACTATCGATAGTATCATGGAAGGCTTATAGACCATGATTGTATTTTACTTTTATATTATAATAGGAATAATAATAAACAAACAAATATAAAGTATGAGAAAGCAATCAACAATTTTAGAAAATCTTCCTGTTTATTATTATTTTTTTAATTAAATGGAAAAGGAATTGATTAAAAATACATCTTAAAGTCAAATAAATTAATAAAGGCCAATTACTTATAATTATTATTTTTTGTTTTCATGGTTTATATTGTAATTTTAAAGAAATGGCTCATAAAATTTTTGCAGAAATTACGAATACAACTTTTTTTATTACATTTTTTTATATATTAGGAATTTTAATTTATCCTTTAAATGTTCAAGATTTACTATGTTATATTACTTTCTCAACTAAAATGAAATTTAAAAAACTATCGATAAAATCTTTATTTGTATCGATAAACGACAGCAATTATAACAAGAATCGAAATATTGTCACTTTCCACAGACCTCGCGTAGCCTGTTGGTCCGAGCGTTATACACAACGATAAACTATTGCTGTAGGTGTAGTCTCATGTTCAAACCCTCATCGAGTGGAGTTGTATTTTTGTATATTATTTTCACTTTTAATTTGTTAGCCAACAAATTATTTTGTTTTTATTTTATAAAATGGCTCAATTTGGGAAATAAACAAATTAATAAGAAAAATTATATAACAATTATTTTTCGCGTATAAGATACATTTTCGTTTTAGGGTGAAAAATTCAATATTTTAATAAAAAAATAGATGACGTTAAAAAATTTAAATACTAAAAGTTGGTTTATTTACTGATAGATTGTTCTCCAACTGTTTCAACTTTGAACAAGTACAATAATATTTCGTTGTAATTATTTATGAAAATAAAACATTAACAAAAATTAAATGGTAATTAAGATATATTTCCAAATAAGAAAATCAACAATAAGTACAACAAAAAATTTATGGATTTGAACCCAATCCATAAAGAATGATTGTATACATGGATACACTGTATGTATAGGACTGATAGACCAATCACGAGATAAGACATTGAAATTACGCTTTAAATAAATTAATTAACAACTGTTAATACATACAAATAAATTATAAATACGAAATATGTGAATATATATTTTTTAGTTTCGTGTTTTGGAAGGTCTAATAATATTAAAACTGTCAATAATAAATAAATACGAAACATATTTCGTAACGGTGAGCGGGCGATGAACGGCATAGGTCCATCCAGCAAGGAGCCTCAGCGCTCTCTGTTCCACGTGTGGAGTTGGAAGAGAACCGAAACAACGCCGCGGTGACGCGGTGTTGTTTCGTTGGCCATCGCGTTCGAATTAATTTTAATGAATTAAATTAATATTTACAAATATCTTACATCAATCAACAAATTAAAACAACAATCCTTTTTATTAATATATTCTACACCACTGATATTAATTTCATTAAGACTTGTTGATGTATTACGTTCATTTTTGGATTTGAATTTCTCTTTTAGAGGTAGTTTCATGATTTTTTTTCTATCGAGAAAATATATCGAGAATATGTTTTGGAAACAATGTTCCATTAGAATGTACGATCAAGATTAACATATATTTTTTTTTTGCTGCTATAAAATGTGTAGATTTTGCTAAAAAATCTTTCGAAAAACCTATTTTTACTGCATAAAGCGCCTTAAACGATTTCTTAATACTTTTAGAGAATTTATTATTACTTTTATTTACAGCCTGCCAAAAATTGTCGTATGGAGACACCAAAGAAAGAAAAATAGGAGGCAATTTAAGAGGTAAATTTAAAAAACTAGCAATTGCCAGGATGAAACTTACATTCCTAAGTTTCAGTTTATTTTTATTTGCCTATGCTCCATAAAAAATTACCTTAGGCAACTCGTATCACGCCTTTTTGATGCCACATTGGATCGAATTTACAAGCTCAGATTGTGAGTAGAAATTCCTAACACATAGATTGTCAGTAATATATTGTAGAAAAAATAACTTGTTTGAATAGCTAAATTGCAACTTTTAGGGTTTCATACTTTAAAAGGTATAAAAAGGAACCCTTATAAGATCACTCTTGTCAGTGTGTCACCACCGATTTTCTCAGGAATAGGTGAACCTAGCAAGTGGAAATTTATACCAGATGCTGAGGTCTATAGTCCCTATTAGGTGTATAAAAATTCTAGGTTGTGAGTCAACAAGATACAAAGATATGGGCAATTTTTTATTTTCGCCGAAAACTTGTAAGTACCGAAATTTAGCTTAATTTTCAACTTTTTTAATTTTTGGGAATATTCCGTTTACTTGTGCTTTTAATCAAAATGGACAATTCTAGATCAATCGGAAGTACCCTATAGGTTTTAGGTCGATTAGCGTAGGTACCACCCGTTCCGGACAGACAGACAGACAAGAGAGTGGTCATATACCTTTTTTTACCTTTTAAGGTAAGGATCCCTAAAAACATTGTGTACTTTTTTGTTTCTTTCGGACGGCATTTTGTTATCCTATAAGCCAAAGACAAGTAAAAGGAAGGAAACATTCAGTTACGTACTACGACGATGTCTCAACTAGATTGTTTGTAACACGTGTAAGTGTCTGTGTCCTTCCTTAGTTTAATTTAACGCAAATATGCCTTCATGTTTACCGAGGTACTGTTTAAACAACTCGGGAAATACAAATAAAGCCCTTGGAATCACAGTTTACCTGTCACTATAATATTAAAGTGATTAATACATTTATATGTTTTACATATATATGTATAACATACTAATACATTTATATGTTGTACATATATACATTACATATATATGTATATATTAAATTAAGTAAAAATGTCCCGATTTGATAAAATTTTGTGTGTAAAATTTGGCTGTTGCACTTCGCTGAACGAAACGCGTAAGCACTGCGATTCCCACGATACTTGCGACCTTTTGGTTGCGAGGAAACAACACTGGCAGTGGTCTAGCTCTGCTTGTTTGAATCGTTTGGATAGACGATTAATTACTGTTCCAGCGCTGCAGCGAACTTTAATTTTAACAAAACAGAACACGACTTTTGGTTAGCTTCTCTAGTGGTAGTTCTTGCAATTCACGAGTAAGGCCGGCCCTTGTTTGTTAAAGACGTATCTGTATAAGTATACACGCGGTTGCGTTTACGGAGGAAACAAAGTTTTGTAAAAATTTTTTTTTGTTTTGTATTAGATTTATTTTAGGGAAATAATTATGAAAAACGAGACAATCAATGTATTATTAGATTAATTTTAAGTATCCTTCGTCATAAAAACTATCACAGTCTTCGAATTCGCTGCCACTACTGGGATTCACCTACATTAATAACAAATTCAAAGTTCATTAATCACTTGACGCAAATACGGTAGTGTCATCGACATACCTCAAGCTCGTAATCTTATGTCCGCCTACTGTAATGCCGTCTTCCCATTCATCCAAGGCTTTTCTCATTACGTGTTCGCCATACATGTTAAACAATATGCAACCCTGATGCATGTCTCGTTCTGAATCGAACAACTTGGATTTTTGGTTTTCCAATTTCACAAATCAAGAGCCATCAAGGTACAAATTCTGTATCAGAAAAATAAGATGTGAGTGATAGAAAAGATATTTATTATTGAAGACTAGGTTGGTCGGCCAAAATAAAATAGTGAGGATAGCGTAAACAATTTTATAACTTATTAGGACAGAGTTACGTCCTATACAAAGGATAAGAGAGTTACTGTAACATTTTCTTGGGCTTGATGAGCCACTGTTGGCCTTAGGGGCCTTTACAGTTTCACCGGACTTGAGGTGGCAGGGCGCTCGGGGCGCCTAGTTTTTATTTATATTATAATTATGATCTATCCTTTGTGATTATAACACCCTCGAACCAGGCTTGAAGACAAAGCCGCCCACAAATTTCATTATCATGCATAATATGGACTTGTTCATACAGCCGCCCCGTTACATGTAATGAAGATCACACAGTTCTATACTTTGTGCATTATGGACTTGATAACTTAGCCGCCCTCTCACATTTAGATTAGATCACACATTTAATATTTGCCTATTTACTACGGACTATATCACACAGCAGTCCTTTCGCAATGAAATAACATCACACACATTATTTTCCCCCTTTATACTATGGAATTGAGCACAGCCGAACTTAAAAAAAAAATATTTATGTATAGCATTGTATACGTTTCTTAAATACATGAATGTGCATCATTATTACCAATATTAAGTATATATCAATATGTATGCATTTATGGATGCATTTTAATAATGATGTGATTTAATATTTTATTTAATGCTTAAAACATCAGCAACCTTTTGCACATGTGGTCTAGATGCTCCCGGTGCAAACCAACACGTAGCAGTCGTATGTCCAATACGCAGACATATAGTCACAGTGCTGTTGCATGCTGCAGTCACGCGCCTCGTGGCCCTGACGGCGCCACACGTAGCACGGCTTAGGTTGGAGTTGATGTTTCACTGGCCACATTATCAGTTCCTCTTCTCCATATGGACCTGCGTGCACTGTAAAGAGTATCCGTCCTCTGATAGTTCTCCGGCGATAATAAGTAGCCGAAGTAAAGTTGTTCGGGGGTATCACAACGGTACGAGTACGCTTTCGCGTTTGCTTGCAACTCCGCAGGTAGGCCACAAATTATACAGGTATTTGCTTGATCGCCTTGAATGTCACATTTTCTCGTGATAGTACGTGGTCATAGATCCAGTTTCTTCCTAGCCAGCATCTGTTCCAATCTATCCACATAATCTGTTGATCCTGGGAACGCAACAAAACCGGCTCGTTTCCATTCTTCCCAAGTTATATTGTAATAATCCAACTCGCAATACCATTCGCGTGCAGCGCCCCTTAACCTTAGTTGCATAACGAACTGCCGATCAGTGTTGCTCCATCCGTAGACGGCACCGAGCCGGGAATTGCCTCCGCAGAATTCGTGGATATTGGGTGTTTCCCCTTACGTTTGCATAAGCCGTCGCTATATGGCCCAGACATTTTGAAACTGTATCTGAGATATTAAAGACTGTAGGTTGTTTGGCCAAAATAAAATAGTGAGTATAGCGTAAACAACTTTATAACTATATATTAACCCGCGACCCGCCCCGGCTTCGCACGGGTGCAATATATTATACATATAAACCTTCCTCTTGAATCACTCAATCTAGTAAAAAATTATTACAAAATGACAAATATTGATATTTATATGATACTAACGTCACTCAATTGTGTTGCATTCCCGGAACCCCTCCAATGACACATAAACTTTATGGTATGGTATTAAAGTTTAAATTGACTTTACACACACACTCTATACACACAATACAGGATAACTTTTTGAAATTGTATTAAACATTCACATTCTTTAAACATCAATATTTACAGAGTTATTAAATTTTCGAAAAGAAAGAATTAGAACACCCTTACGTATAAAACTATAACGTATAGTTCATTTGTAAAGGTCACAAAGCATATGAATGGATTGAATGAATTTAAGATACAAAACATACTGTTAGAAGGAGAGGCTTGTAATGCGACGCTGAGGCAACCAATGAAAAAGTCTCTGAATATATGAATCAGACAGTAGTTGTATAGGATGATACAAATTTTGTTTCTTTTTGACTAAATTAGTTTGTTTGAAAAATTTTTTTTATGAATTTTTTTAACGTTAATTTTTTTATGATTATTGGCAAGTAGCCTTAGACGTGTGTTCATTTATTGTCGCGATGGTAATGACACGCAGTATATAAAAATAAACGAGTCATTACAACTACACTACAACTAGACTACAAATCAATGCACCCATTAAATTACTAACACAGTTAATCAGATCAACTTATTAAATTATAAATTATTATTAAATAATATATATTATATAGTATAATACCAGATATGGTTTATTTTGATTATGTTTATTATGTATAGTGTTATTGCTTGTATATTAAGCAATGTTGCCAGTGGATTTTAACAATATATATCTCTCCCAAAGTGCTAATATATTCGTAGCTCACTTCATTTCTAAACATATCTTTAGAGGAATGGTTTATTTCCTTTTATTACGTACGTCACTGAACAAGTGAACGATTGAAGCTTTAGAAACTTTGTCGTCTTGCATTTATAAAAATAATGTTATCAACATCATGTTTTTGTTTCAGGGTTGTAGGTGTGAAGACTATGATATTATCTACTTAGATAAATGTTGTGATGTCCTTAGTTAATTATGACTTCTAATTGTTCAAATAGAAGACGCCAAAAATAATTTATTTAGTGTGTTTTTAAATTATTACCCTTAATCAGCTTATTGGAAATGTAACGACATTATTCTGTAGTAGGTAGTTTTAGAAAACACCAAATATACGATTAAGTAAGTAGTACTAAATATTTTTTTTTAATAAATTTTCAAATTCAAGTATTTCATCTATCAAGCTGTTGTTTGGTGGTTTTTATAAAAAGGCCCTTTCAAATATGAATTTTATTAACCTAAACCATCGACTTGGAAATATGTAGACCTTGAATTTATTAGATAGAAAAGTTACATAACAAAATAAAACTATCTGAATGAATATGAAATGAATGCGATACATGTATATAACATTTTCGATAAAAAGAGAATATAATACTGTAATCTTGACATTTGAGTTTGTACAAATATGCTAAATGCTGTTATTTTGGCAGGCCAGGGTTACCATTCCATTAGAGTAACCATTCGTTAAATGTTAATTAAATCAACGACTTAAGTAATATTTAATAAAAGTATAAATATTTTAGACGAATACTATGCATATAACAAAAATAGACGCTATCATTTATATTGATCTCGTGAATGAGACAAGGGAATTTAGTAAGTACGACGTTAAATAAATATATTGAAAATTATATGGCCAAGTGACTACAACTCAGAATAATTATGCCTAGCTAACGTTGTAATAAACTTTCCTTTAGGTAGCTATTGTCATAAATTGTCTTTTATGCTTATGTCAAGCTAGTCTCGAATCAATTTTATGCCACAGGAGAAAAAAAAAATTGTTTTAGTTGTTAAAAAGCAAGTTTGACGGGTACCTTTATTCTAGGTTTATTTATTAAAACTTCCTCGATTATTAAGTCTTATTGTTTGAACTGTACATAAAATGGTGATTAAGTAATAAATAATATTCTTCACTTTCTGGGTTTTTAATTTTGTAGTCGATGCCTTACGTACCCTTTAAAACATTCGGTAATACTTATATATTTTTTTTATATAACCAAAATTATATCATCCTTGAATATTATTAAAATAATATTACCGTGACTGGCATACATCGAGAACAATTCAATCAATTTGCATAGTAGTCCATTTTTAGGTCTACGTCTGCGGACGACAGGGAATATAGACTTGTTTACTTTAAAAGTTGCTTCCGTGTGCTCTATCAACCGCCGCCGCGCCGCGCCCTTTCGAATTGCTCGCTTGCCGTTGTGAACATTTGCTAGTGACTGTATCGGCGATAAAGTTAAGAGTTTTGTGGTCCATGGTTGCCAAGGTACTAGATTCGATACCGGGGGTCGTGGGTTCTTCGATTCACACACAGGACAACTTTTGTGTGACTCAAAACGGGACGTTGGTTTACAAGAGTTTTCTCTGAGAACATCCCTACACAGATTAATGATAGTATGTTAATCGTTTGGAAAGTCGACAGGTCTTCAGTCTGCGGCACTTCTGACTAGAGTATCTTTATATTCCTTTGCTGTAACTTCACTTGTCTGCATAACTTTTGGACTTTTTTTGGTTGCATTAGCTGCCACAGCCTAAAAATTAACGTGAAATTACAATAAACATTTTATTTTATACATAAGGTCAGGGAGATAATTAATAGGGGAGCACGAATTGCTCTGCAGTAGAACATACATAGGGTTGATGCTATTAAATTTCATCAAAATATATACTGAAATTAACGTATTGTCCAGCCTTTAATAAGTAGGATACTAGTTAAAGACGATGATGCTATTGTTTAAATAGGAGTGTCTTGTATCTTGTATTAACTGATGATTTTGCTTTCAGTCCGAGACTATTAAAGCTTCATCTGACGCAGAACCGGCGGGCTAGCCAGAACCCACGGGTTAGGGCCACGCATGTGCTCATGCGTGCGTTTAAGTATGGTGTGTCATCTAAGGGCCATCGAAGTCGCGGTTCGGGCCGAAACCCCGATGGCCGTCGACTGTGCAATTAGCTAATTGGTGGCTGGGAGCGATGAGAACCGCCCCGGAACGCGGGTGTACCTCGTGTACACGTTGTGTTGGTCTCGCCGTGCTCGGAGGCAAGGGCGTTTGTAGTTGCACTAACTGTGGGTGTAGTGTTATCCGGCGGTGGGTCCGGCGTATCTAAGTCCCCTTCCTCGACCGGGTCGATGAGGACCGCTCAGTGAATTTTTTCCACTTATCTTTACAAACACTTCAAAAAGCACCAGAACACACACAATTCACTATTAAAATAAAAATAATTTTCGAACAGCAGTTATATGACAGTCTAAGTGCAAAAGTGTAGACCATGTAAGCATCTCTAGTTAGTCTGTGGTGTAGACCTAAAATGGCGGCATACAATTGTTAAATCAATGTTATAATGTAAGTAGCACTGAATTATCAACAGGTCACTGAATTTTGAGTCCAAAAAGGCCAAAATTTATGTTTTTTAAATAAAGTATTTAAGTAAAGTAAGAGGTCTTTAAATTAAAAAAGGCTTAGTCACCATAACGCATAATAATAATACCCCGAGGTTCAGGCTAGGCGCCCCGAGCGCCCGGCCACCTCATGCCCGTCGGATCTGTAAAGGCCCCTAAGGCCAACAGTGGCTCATCCAGCCAAAAAAAAAAGTGCCTTGAGACGGCGAGTGGAGTCTTGAGGCCTCTGCGACCTTATTTGAGATTGGGTTGATATAATGCTAAGACGTATGCGATCTTGTTAGAGCCTCTGCCGGTAGTTAATGTGAGTTATTCACGTTACTAGGCCCATACCGATCGTGTAAAAGCTTATCAGTCTAGCATAAGTTAGGCCTGATCTAATCGTATGCCTAAACCGTAGAGTAACTAACCGTTTCGACTTTCGTAAGCGCTTGGTTTTGATTTTAGGTTTTGTATGTTTTTGTGCGTGTCCATGCGTTTATTAGCCTTTTAAACTTTAATGTTAATTATTGAAATGATACTGATTTGTGCGGCACTACTGCACTTGAAAATACCTATATTTAAATAACAAAATTAATTTTTCTTTTACGTCTTCACCCGAAACGTGTTATCACTTCATCTACTTCAATGGGTACCTTTTTATGGACATGAAGAAAGGCCAGTCTGGTTATACGTTATTCAACCATCCAAATCAAATCATAAAATTTACTAATCGAATTGAGAAATATACATTTCATCTATCGATATTTATTTTTTAAATCTACCATATTGAAGCTCTTAGTCACGATTTGATTCATCGTAACGTAGAGAAAGATCTTTCCGCTGTCGCTAGACTAACAAGTAGTGTAACTATAATGCATTTAAAAAATATATTATATTAGGATATATCTCAATATCGAAATTTAAAATAAGGCCGGAAATCGACCGCGGTATTACATTACAATCCACCACTACCATCTCCTTTTCCCTTAGTCACCCTGCAAGCAAGACCATGCAAATTTCACACCCCACAACAGATTTTTGTAAATACATATTAATTATAAGCATTAAATAAAGGAGCACAGTCATTATTAATTTATTACAGTATTTTAAGTAATACTTTAGGTATAGTGTTAAAAAAAGCAAATCTGTTTTAGCTTCTTTAATATTTTATAGCTTTTAAAAATCTATAAAAGGTAAAACGTATATAGTAAAAAGTAGTGGGTAGGTTATTAAGATTACTATTTACTTTTTGTAAACGCCTGTTAATAAAATGCAATGATTTTGTGTCACGCAATAGTTTTACGAAGATTATTTTATTTTCACTGTGTCACGAAGTGTCAGTGTAACACAAAATGTGACATCAGATGAAAGGTAGCGGTATCGCGCTAAAATTCAAATTTTCGTTCCCGAATAATACGTTTGCAATCATACAAAATATTATATTAAATTCATTAAATATTGAAGGTACTTATATAAAACTGCATTGTGACAAAAATATACAATAACATTAGGTTTAACAAATTTATTTAGTGGTCCACCTAGGTCCTGGACCCAGCCCGGGAGGAGCGCTCGCCTTAAATTACATTTGCTCCTCGAGTAACCCGAATTAGATCCACGGTGCCAGCACCAATGAAGTTGTTAATTTTAAGTGCTGAATTATCACGTACTCGGCGGTGAAGGAAATCATCGTGCATATTTTCGAAATTCGAAATTCTATTTCTATTTCTATGGAGCGTCCGCCAAAGCGACATAAGAGCTTGGCGGCCTCCCATACTGGTGAATAATAATGTTACGTATTTGTAAGTTATGTTAGAGGGTAAGTTGAAAACAACGCCCTGGGCGACTGTATAAAGATGATACAATACTTTGAATATACGCTGTCGATCAGTAAACGTCTTTTATTTAACAAATAATAGCATGACGGCCCGAGCTAAGGCTCCCTTCGAAGCACTCGAGCTTAATCATCCCATAAACGACATGAATCCGATCGGAGATATTAAAATGTATCTTGAAAACTTTTTCAAATTCCAATATACATATTTGGCTCAGTTTTTGGACATTTAAGAGCATTTTTACAGGCACTTACTTTTATACGGCAAAGCATTTGTAAGCCGAGGGTGTTGCAAGTGTTCATGGGCGGCGGTAATCACTTACCATCAAGTGAGCCTTGTGCTCGTTTGCCCCTTTTCACCTTAAAAAAAAAGAAAAAACCAATTAAAACGATTGACACAATAGACAACAACAACAACAACCATTCTATTCATAAATATAATCCCTAAATAAAAAATAATTAAAAGCATTATATATTATATAATAATCTGAAGTTCGTACCCGAAAAAAGAAAAGGAACTCAATGATTGCAATATATTAATCGGGGATTATTTATTAAAGAACATTAAGTAATTTGAAGTAGATTAATTGACGTATTCGAAATATTGTTCTCTTCCAAAGTGCGGATTCGTCAGTATGCATTTAGAATATCTCAATAAATGTATCATCTGGACGTAGTTATGCGAAAACGTTCCATTCCACAATCATCACGATTTGAGAAAAACGCAATTTACATTTCAGTGGTACATTTTTTTGTCCTAGCTAGTATTGACAAATTATAACGGTAAAATCGTAGTAAAATATGGTCATTACCATTACGTAACATTAAGGTCATCATTATATTTACGTTAAAACGGTAGATAATTAGGAAAAATGGTACTGGCATTTTTGCAAAACTACTTTTTTATGAACCCTCATTTCTAATTATTTTGCAAAAATGTTCCAAAAGTATATTTTATGTGTTTTAATACATAATTATAAAATAAATATTTAATTAAAAAGACAGATATTCATTAATAATTCGTTTATTCAAAAAGTTCAGTCATATCATTCGGTACACTAAATATTGTGTGTGTAATCAACTTGTACGTCGAAGTCTAGTTCTCCCCATCGACGTCATCGATGATTTCCTCTAATACAAAATACAATTATTAGGATAAATTAAATTCGAAATAAAACCGTTTAAAATCTTTAAAGTTAAACGGTTTTATTTTATGTGTGAAAACTACAATATTGTATTATCATCAAAATTAAATGTGTGTACCAAATTTCAGATCAATCTGACAACGGGAAGGTGCTTAAATTTCAATTTCTAATTTTGACCCAAATAAATAAACAAATAAATTCCGTACGGGTCGAGCTAAATAAAACCGTTTAAAAAGACATTTCGTGGCGTTTCGACGTTTTATTAACTTTACCTTAACACGAATCACGTGCTGACTAAAGTGGAGCTTAGGGTCAAGTACAACACCTAAGCATTTCACTTTATTTATCCATTATACCAAACTTTCCATGAGCTTATACTTCTATACATTGTTTTAAACCATTGTTGTATTTTTTGGTGATAAAAACGCTATAACGGGGAGTAGATATTTACATGAATATGATATCCTAGAGGGTTTTTTAGAAATTAAAACTAGCTTATTTGCGAGCCGATGCCACGCGGAAATGAAATCTAAGACGAACAATGTATTATTGAACAACCATCTTCATCAGCTTCTAAATAACATTTTAATGAGACTTGCCAAAGAGGACTCTTAGAAGATCAAAACAGCATAACTTATTGTCTTCGAAGTCAAAAGAGGCGTAGCCGAATCCAGCAGAATACTGTTAGATGTCAAGGGTTCCATTTTATGTATTTTTTTAACTAAGATAATCTCTAATCTCATCTAAATTGTAAATACACTATATACTACTACTATACGTGAAACAAAAGTAAAATAACAGCCTTATACATATCCCACAGTGGTATACAAAGGGTATTAGTCTATGTAGCGACCTAACTGCGGATTTTACATATCTTTGAAACATTTTAAGGTTCCATACTCAAAGGATAAAATGGGATCCTATTACTAAGACTCGATAGTTAGACAGCTGTAATGGACAGGATGATGTATTTCTGTTGCCGCTACAAAAAAAAAAAAAACAGAAAAAATATTTAAGTGACTCCCATAAAACACAAGTCATGAACTTTTTTGTTTCCGTTTTATACGGAATAGTGGTACGGAACCCTTCATGCGTGGGTCCGACTCGAATTTGGTCGGTTTTTTTTACTATTTCGAAAATATGCAGGTTTCTTCAAAATGTTTATTTGACGAACAGGAATCTATGAATAAGTTTACATTTTGGGACAATTATTCAAGTTAAATCCGCGCTTTCATTCGTTTTACGCTTTCTGGCCATGAAAGCAGTGTGAAACGTTCCGTACGTCCACTGATAAACTTATTGATCGATCTTCGACAAAGATGTATATCTCCGTAATAAGTCGTGATCGTGATTTTTTGATACGATGTTGATGCCAAAAGTATAAAGAAAACACCTCGATGTCGTTACACTTGTTCAATGCATAAATAATTATATTCCAGGGTCACATAATCATAGATTAACAGTTATTTGGCTTACAAGCTTTCCGAGGTTAATAATATTTTTTAATTACAAAATTAATAATTTCTAAACATCAATTATTTGACCTGAGCAGCAGTTGCAAGGGTACAAGTTTTTAAAGTCAAGACTCTTATGATTTGATGTGATAAACGAACTGTTTTTCAAATTTGATAATAGCTCCATGACTCTATCCAGATCAGATTTTCTTGATTCATCTTGTAAAAATCTTACTAAGTCTTCATCATTTGCAAACCTTAAAAGTAAATTGTTGAGCTGCTCTAAGTGACTCCTTAGTTTATTGCTTTCTATTTGAAATATTTTTATTTGTTCATTTCTGTCTTCATCGCGTTTTCTGAGTAAACTTCGCTGTTGCTGATATAACGTTATATATTCACATATTGTATCTGTCTCATTTTGTAACTGAAGAATAATATGCTCTAGTCTATGTTTTTCATCAGACAAATTAGCAACTTCGTCCATAATATTAAGAAAACGTTCCTGAAGCTTTAACATAGCATCTTCTTTTGCTATTGACAACCTCAGTTCCTCATCAGTTTCAATACTTTCCTTCTTTTCCTCATTGTCTCCGCTTACAAAAGGCACCTCTTTTTCATTGGACTTGATATCTATTTCATCATTGAGAACAATATTTTTCTCATTTTCAATATGTTTTTGGCATTTTGAAAGAACCTCCTCATAGTCTTTCTCTAAAGCCCGGTAACTATTTTGTAGTCTAATCATTTCCTCATCCTTTGCCATTATTTTATTAAACAAGCTTTTATTGTTTTCTTCTATGTCAGCCAATTTGAGCATCAGTTCTTTGCTCAATTGCTTTTCATAAGTTAATTTTTCCGTTAAGTCTAATTTATCTTTACTCTGCAATAAAATAAATAATACATATAAGTGCACATCTGAGGCATGTAGTGAACTTATAAATCTATGGACCAATTACTATTCCACAAATAATTAAACCAATCAGTTTTCATGAAGTAATTTCAAATAATTAGAAGAGCCTACTGGTGGGCATCTTTTGATAACTAATCTCAGACTATTCATCAACTATATCGCCTTCGCCATCGCCTTTATTACATATACTCGAGCGAACTGAGTTCGATCCCCGGTGCGGGCACCAATGAAATTTTTAATTTTAAGTGCTGAATTATTACGTGCTCAGCGGTAATGAAAAAAATCGTGAGGAAACTTGCATATTTTCGAAGTATTCAACTTCACATATCTTCGAAAAAATATTTCGAAGATATGTGAAGTCCGCCAATCCGCAGTGGGGCCGCGTGGTGGACTTTGCCCTGATACCCTCTGTACAGAGGAAGCCTTTGCCCAGCAGTGGGACATGTATAGGCTGATACTTCTTTAGTTATTATCATTAAAAGATAAACGATAAAGATTTTATCTTGTTATATAATTGAGCTAAGGTTTTTTATATTCTATATAACCTCCTATCACAGTGTATCTTCATGATGGACTCCAAAGTTATGTAATGTTGCATATTTTTGCATATGTTTTAAACATAGGATCTAAATTAAAGGCTTGGTTAGATAGCGTGTGACTGGACGGCGACTCGACGCTGGCGTGATGTGAGCAGTTGTAATGTGCCAATTATATAGAAGATGTTACACCACACCGTCGGGCTCAGCGCGCCGGTAGCGGGCGCGTCACCTCGCCGTCCGGCGGGAATATAACATTTGTATTCTATGAGTTGTCAATGTAGTAGTCCCACAGACAGCGGGATGGGGCACGTCGCGCCCGACGGGACCTTAGTGTTATATTAAATTTTAAAAAAAAAACCGGTCAAGTGCGAGACGAACTCATATGCCAATGGTTCGTACCTACCTATTATACCGCCATAATAAAATTGATGGGTAATCACCACCAATTTTAAGGTAAAAAAAAAAAAACCTAAAAATAACCCTGAAAATGGATAACGAAAAAGTGGATATTTAACGAATAGTATTGAGATTGTCTTCTTGATCTCAATACTAATCGTATTCAGATTGTCTAGGAAAACAATAATAATACGCAGCGTAGGAAGACCTCCCACAAGGTGGACGGACGACCTAACCAAGATCGCAGGGACGCGTTGGATGCAGGCCGCTAACGACCGGTCTAAGTGGAAGTCAATGGGAGAGGCCTATGTTCAGCAGTGGACGTCCTACGGCTGATATGATGATGATTGAGATTGTCAAATTCATATATCTTTATTTAACATTACACTCAGTTATACAGCGTGTCGTTATAACCTCGACAATAAATTAACACACGTCTAGCGCTACTTGCCAATAATCATAAAAAAATATAAAACGTTTAAAAAATCCATAATTAAAAAAAATATATTTTTCAAACAAACTAATTAATTAAAAAGAAACAAAATTTGTAACATCCTATACAACTACAACTGACTGATTCATACATTCAGAGACTTATTCATTCGTTGCCGCAGCGTCGCACTACAAATCTCTCCTACTAACAGTATGTTTTATCTCTTTCAAATTCATTCAACCCAATCATATGCTTTGTGACCTTTACAAATGAACTTTACGCAACCCATTTATACATAATGGTGTTCTAAAAATGTTTGATTATGAAAATTTTATAACTCTGTAAATATTGATGTTTAAAGAATGTAAATGTTTAATACAATTCTAAAAAGTTATCCTTTATATATGTGTTTATTTATTGTGGCGGTTGTAACGACACGCTGTATATGGTCAAAATACTTCCACCGATTCGGAGAAGAAAAGTCACTGTCATGAGAAGAACCGGCAAAATAAACTCTGCGGGCCACTTTTTTACCATTTTTGTTAATGTGAACATTTTTTACAAAACAATATATAAAGTCCAATTAAAAGTCCAATATATAAAGATCAATTCATTACCAGCGTGTGTTATCCAATCAAATAATCATTAACATTACAATAGCCTTTAACACAAACATCCTTTTAGATTTTTTTAAATTTAGCTGGTGATACATTTTGAACATTTTCTGGGCGTTTGTTGTAGAAATGTATAGTGTCCAATAAAAGATTTACTTATTCTACACAGTCTACTTGTGGGTAGGATCAATTTATGTTAGTTCTTAGTATTTATATCATGGCATTACTATGTCTTAAGAATTCATCCTTATTTTTATGACATACATAACATTTTCAAGTATGAACTGAGAAGCAACAATTGATATCTTTATCGCTTTAAACTAATTTCTTAATGATTCTGATGACTGTAATCTGAATCACTTGACATTTTGTTCAAAATTCCTCGAAGAATCACGCTCAGTGCGACGGGGACGGAACGCTGACGTCACGCCGCCAGTGTGACATCGACATCATGATGCGGCCGCGTCAACGTCGCGTTGCCGTCCCGCCCGTCCCCTATCTAACCCAGCGTTAATATTTTTTATTGCAAGGTTAGTATTTTTAAAGGATGAAGGCTTCAAATTTGTAAGTTCCAGAACTTTATTATTGATGTCAGTGTAAGTTATAAAAGAGTGTCAATACACTGAATTGACACTTTCATAACTTTACTGTCATCCCGATTAGACACACAAATAATATTATTTCGCCGTATTTCAGTACCTTGGAGCCACAATTTGTTGCACATCTTTTTAAGATTCACTACAAAATAACCTTGGTTATCATATTTACTTGTGTACTATCTTTTCGCCTGTGACTCCGCCTATGACAAAAGTTATGAAAGATGTCAATACACTGACTTACACTGACATAAAAATACTAACTTTGGAATAAAACATATTAACATTAGTTATCATAAGATGCCCACCAGTAGGCCCTTCAAATTATTTGAAATTACTCCTTGAAAATAACAGGCACTCAATAAATGGGCTATCTAACAGTGCTACTTTTTAAGCAGAATTTAAAATGTAGTATGTGTGGGCCGACCTGCAGGTGAAAAGCTAGTATATAATAAATTGATACAGAGCAGCATGTATATAGGTTAGCTAATTAAAATATAGATAAAGCTTTACCATTTTCACAAATGCAAACTCTAATTCCTCCAAATCTGTTTTCAATTTTTTATTCTGCTCTGTAGCCCTCTGAGCTGCAATTTTGTCACTGGTAATGTCTGCATTAAGTTTTGAAATACTTATTTCATCCTTATCACATTCAATTATATTACTTTTACTGGATTTCTCTAAATGTTCTTGGCTTTCCTTATATTTAAGCTGAAGTTCATCATACAGAGAATGTAACTCTTGATATTTATTCTGTAAAATAAAATAAAATGAGTAGCTTAAATTTTAAATGTAATAAAAGTATAAATTTGATAGACATTTACTTCAAAATTTTTGATATTTTCCTGAAGCTCTTTAGTCTTATCACTTTCTTCAGTCAATATTTTTGTTTGGTAGCTTTGAAGTCTTTTCTCCAATTCACTAATTTGTTCTACAAGGCTGTTTTCTCTGTTATATAATTGGTTTATTTCTTGACTCAGACTATTATTTTTCACTCCTATTGTTTTCAATTGAGTGTTTAAATCACTAACATAGTGTTCATAATGAGAACTTAAGTTATCCCTTTCTTTTTGAACAGCCTGTAACCTTTCCTGTAAGTTAGAAATTTTTTCATTGAGGTCATGGTTTGATGATTTGTCATCTGCCCTTTGATATAGGTTTAGATTAGGATCATTGGTTAATTGCTTGATTTGCAATTGAAGAGAATCTAGTTGTCTCTGTAGGTGAGAATTTTGTTCTTTAAGGTGAAAATTTTCATTTTCTTTGGAAGTTAAAGCAGTTTTCGTAAATTCTAATTGTTCAAGTAAATTATTGTTGTCATCTTTTAACACTGTATTTTTATTTTGAAGTTCAGAAATCATTTTCCTTTGAACTAAATTTTCTTCTTTCACAGTTTCATAACTATTTTTTGTTGTTGCAAGTTCCATCTCAAGACGAGAATTTATTTGCATGCATATGTTTTGTTTGTCAACAGCTAATATATGATTGTGTTGCACTTGCATAAGTTGTAATTCTAATTCTTTGACTTGAGTTTCTAGTTTCGTTTTATTTGATATCAGAATTTCGGTAGCACTTATATCATTTTCTTTAAACTCTGTACATGCAGGAACATGATTTGGTTGAAGTAATTGTGAGCCGTCATTATTAAATTGAATTGGTTTTGAGGTAACTATAATGTCTGCTACCTCTTTGGATACATCGTATTGACTGGAAGGCTTAGTGTTCTCTGTACGTATCTTTTTTTCTTGGTGATGTTTTAGCTAGAAACAATAAATAACATCAAAATTTATAATGTTTATGAAGTATTATATAGTAATCAAACACAAAAACAAGCAACACATAACCTTTTGTCGTGCTGCCGCTAGTTTAGCCGCTCTTTCATCCATTATTATTTATTTCGTAACTGATGTTTTGGGCATAAATTAAATCAAACTATTGCTCTATGTACTGATAATTACGAAACCATGTAGCAGAATAGTCAATTTGCCTGTGACAAGCTGACAAGTAATGCATAGATGTGATGATGTGATGTTGGCCTGTTGGCAAGCAACATAGAGTCATAGAGTAAATTAATACTACTGGCAAGTAATCAATAGGATATAGGGATGTCGAAAAAATACCGTTACATCTATAATTTTGATTTTACATATTGATATTTTCAATCGATATATTTGGATCCCGTATATCGATACAAAATATTCAATATTAATAATCGAGACTGATATTGATATTTTAATAAAGTGGCATGAGTCAAATATTTATCAAAACGTAACTGAAAACGGTTACGCGGTACATATCGTTTAGTATCGACATACAACATTTTGATATCCGATATCCTAGAAACTGTCCTGAAATAACAACTAACCATAACGTTCTTCAACAAAAACCAAGCGTTGCGCTGATATCGTTTTATCAGCGCAACGTTTTTTCCGCTATGAAATTGATATTCGCTTCATCACTGGCAACGCATGGCCAGTGAGGCTAACGTAGGCTAATTTTCGCTACATTTAGGCTACTCAGGACGAGAATCGGCGATGAAAAAATCTGAATGGCGACATTGGCGACTAGTCGCCTAGTAGGCTACTTCCGAGTTAAGTTATTTTAATTAACCAAATAACAAATTAACATAATTTTTTAATGTAGTGTCTTATAATCATTAAGTGAGTGTAATGCTCCTATGTTGAATACAGATCTTTGAATTCGAATAAAAAACGTCGCCTCCATTAGCTCTGTGATTTTAATAAAGAATTATGGCCACACTATCGGTTTATGGTTGGTTATTAGCGGGGATTAAGAGAAATTTTGTTATTATATTTTTATTGTGTGACTTTTATGATTCCAAATTTAGGATGCAGTGAATTGTTATTATGCTTTTAATGACTATCACAATTCTATTTATTATAAAGCTCGATTTACACTGAAAAAGTGTTTAGTGAAGTAGATAAGTACAGTGAGTATGTATAGGGGTTTAAACAATCGGACAGTAGCAAGTTAAATTGACTTGCAAGCTGCCTTCCAACTAGACCCAAATATAATCGCTTTTTGGTGTTAGTGCCCCCACGCGCCCGCTTAGCCCCCGCCGTCATTTGCCGTAGTGGAATCTGTCAAGGCCAGCCACAACAGGCAACAAAATTGCACGTATTTTTTGACGTTGCTTGTCCATTTAAACTTAGAAACGTCACTGATATGTTATAGTGCAAACATCCACTTGTCCTTTTTTTTTACGTGGGAAACATCCTTTATGGATCCCCCGCCGCCTTGTGCCACCCCGGGGCTCGCTATCAGGGGGGAAGGTTGCGCGCGTAAGCCATCCTCCTGCGCCCTGGTCTCCGGTAGCAGATTTCCAGGGTGGCAGTTGCCTCCCTTTCTCGCTCCGGGGCCTCCTTCCGGGTGATTATGTCTTTCACAAAAAGGAAGGACAGCAACACACACCCTCTCGCTGTCTACCATAGCACGAACCACGGTAGGCAGCGAGAGGTCGTGCCCCACGAAAGCGCACATCTCTCGGCGCTGAACATCCACTTGTCCTGTGCCTACCACTGGTACAGTGGCCATTGTACATTGTACTCACTACGCGCCACTGTGCTTGATCTATGTGAATCAAATCGCACAGCGCAGGGTTGCGGCGTTGTCGCCTTCCGTCAAGAAAGAGCTGCTGCAGAAAAAAAGATTATAAATTATAATAATTATTGTTATTAATTTTAAGTTCAAAATATCTAATAATAACTTATAACAAGTCAAATTTTGTAAGTAGCCATTTAAAATTACTCAAATAAATATTTTATTGTGAGATATCAGTTTTCATCACAGTTTTTCAAATTTATGTTTTAGAGTTGCAAATTAAAATCATAACTCTTGTTTTTAGATAATTAGATTGCTTAGTTATTCAGCTTATTAACTGTCATTTTTTGGCATAGCATTTTGTTTGCGAACGGCAAGCGTTTTTATAGCATATATTCATCGCTTGTCTTGTGAGCGATGGAGAGGGTTCCTACCGACCCACCTGATTCTCCAGACAGGGAGCGGCCTCCATCTCCGTTAGATCAGTCTCCTCCATTATTTACTCAAACAGGTACCAAAAGGCGCCTCGAACCAGAAGCGGACGCCGAGCCTATTAGAAAAGCTCTAATAACAGAATCACAACAAACACCAGACGCTAATCCAGCTCTCTACTCTCACCCCTCTCTTTCTGATACCCCTAAATTATATTTCAATGTGGATAAAGGTCCTTTTAGTGTACATGTGTCAATTAATGAGGCTTTGAGCCTTTGGGGCGTGCAAGCCCCAAAGGCTCAAGCGCCGTTATGGGTTCCCTCTTAGAGTAATTCATTCGCGAACGATGTCCCGAAATATGGCACAGCTTTCTCGCCTTCGCCGCGGAGAAACTCCTTGTCGTCGAGTACGCTAGCGACAACCCGGCTTCATCGGCAGTCGCCTCACCGTCATCTCCGTTGCCCTTTGCGCCAGCTAATGAGTCGCCTTCTGCGACACTAGTAACGCCCGTCGCGTCGACTTCCGCCGTCGCGAACGAACCCAACGCGGCGCCTTCCGCGCATTCAATTTCAGCCCCCTTCCGCGCTGTCGTTCCCGACCCACAATCGGACGGCGGCTCGGACATGGAGGTCGAAACGACCCCCGCTGATAACGTGAACGCCGACGGCTTCACCGTCGTAAAATCGCGCAAAAAGGGCAAAAAACGCCCCGCAACTGACAGCGACCCCGAATGCGAGGCCACCCCATCTAACCGTCCCACCGCGACGCCCGCCAAAAAGGCAGCCACGGCTGCCCAATCGGTAACCCAATTCGCCTCTGAGCAAAAAATTAAGCCACCGCCTCCAATAATTATTCAAGAAAAGGCAAAGTGGCATCAAGTATGCTCGTGGTTCGAACGCCACAACATCCGCGACCTCCGTTAAAAAAATACACACATGGGTATCGGCGTATACCTGGACACAACAGACGATTTCCGCCGCGTAACCAAGTATTTACGTGAAAATAAGGTAGGTTTTCACACCTACACGTTGCCCGAAGAGCGTAAACTTCGGGTAATAATAAAGGGCGTCCCCAAAGAGTCGGATGTCGATATAGCTAAAGTTGACATCCGCAGTCAGGGATACCCCGTACATGCAGTGCGATGTCTCAGGCACCAAAAACCCGTGTCCTTATGGACATGGTCATGGTTGAACTGGACCCTACCCCGGAAGGTAAGGCCATCTTCAACCTGAAAAGGGTCTGTGGGGGTGTCTCAGTGACTTAGTTATCGAGCCTCCGCGTAAATCAGGCGTTGTGGCACAGTGCGACAACTGCCAGCACTTCGGCCACACGGCCAACAATTACTTCGCTCACCCTGGGTGCGTCAAATGCACCAGTGACCACGGCACGCCCGAGTGCACGCGGCCGAAAGATTGCGCAGATCCACCGGACTGCGTAAACTGCCACGCCACCGGCCACCCGGCTAGTTACAGAGGCTGCGCTAAGGCCCCAAAAAAAAAAACCGCGAAATCAACTTTGCCCAAACCAGCGCCCGTACCCGTCGTAAACGTCTGAGCGAAACCCCAGGTGGCCGCGCAGGTAGTCACGCCCCCGGTCGCCTCACGAACAATCGCTCAATTGCAGGCCACCTATCAAACGGCAGTGAGGCCGCAGGTGCAGTAGACTCCGTCGGTTTTCGCCGAAAACAAGGACGACCCGTTCGCCCAAATTGCCAACATCTGCGGCTTATTAGACCGCATAAATAGACAAGAACTCGCCGTTTTGTCCGCTAAAATAGCGGCCGCCACATCTGGCACCGAGCGATTTAAAGCCATTAGCGAACATAAAATGCTTGTAGAAGCTCTCTGGGCATTTACAAGCCAACCATAAACTTAATAGTCCCCGCAATAAAACCGCGCTCCGTCGCGTCGTTAGTTAGAACTCATAAAAAACGTTAATGGGAAGTACAACCGCAGGTAGAACAAAACCTCGGCCTCTGGTTGTTTCGTATTTCAACGCAAATGGCATTAACGGTCAAAGGGACGAAATCGCAAATTTCCTTCGCGATTATAATGTAGATATTTTTCTAGTGCAAGAGACCTTCTTAAAACCTAGGGTTAGCGATCCCAGAATCGCAAACTACAACATAGCCCGCCACGACCTGTTAGCAAACCGTCTGGGCGGCACCTTACTTTATTACAAAAGGTCCTAGCCCGCTCGACATTCCAGAGCTAAGCCATATCCGCGTGTAGGTTAGCGCTCACCGGCCATAGGCCGCTTGTAATGGTCTCAGCTTACCTCTCGGGGAACAAAACCTTATTACAAAGCGACCTAGATAAGCTACTTAACTTAGGCCCTTCCGTGATAATTGCAGGAGATCTAAACTGCAAACACAGCTCATGGGACATCCACAGCATCCCAAATAACAACGGAAAGCATCTCTTTAGCTTATCCGATAATTTAAACTTTAGCTTTTTTTTAATCGCTCCTACGACTCCCACTAGGTATCCTACAGTGGACAACTACCAACACACGACACCGAGTATCCTAGATATCATGTTATTCAAGGTCTCGCTCGACATCGAGTCCATAGAGACAATCCATGAACTAGATTCAGATCACAGGCCCGTCCTGTGTAAACTGGGCTAGAACGCCGGTGCGGTTCCTCCGACCAAATCCGTAGTGGACTGGCATCGTCTTGAGGTCAAACTCAAGGCCTTGAACCCCCAGGACTTAGTCGACCTACCCGAGACGATAACGTTCGATGACGCAAATCAACGATAGCAAGTCTCCGAGAAACCATCACTTCCGCAGTCGCAGACTCGGAACGGACGGTGAAATTGTCGGGCGACCGACGGTTTAACTTTCCGCCCGACCTGCGACTGCTAATTAGGCAGAAAAATGCAGCAAAACG